ATCATTCTACGATACGGTAGGTATCATGTATCCCTTCATTTACGTTGTTGCTCAGAGGCGGTGCACTAAAGTACATGGTTGCAAAACTGAAGCCCAGAGGTAATGGATACCATTCGTGATCCCGAGGATCAGTCTCCAGGTTTCGACAGTGTTGAAAACCATGCACGCCGAGGTATACAAAAGGAAGGTGATCCCGCGCTTTTTGTTGGCTCTAGCAAACGCACTCGCATGCTTTGTTTCGCTTGAATGACTATGCTTTATTCGCAGCGAAGTAACTACCGACTAGTCTCACTGCGAGCGATACTGAAGTGATGAGATAACAAAACAATACAATCCCTCATGTCCAATCAGAAAACCAGTATACAACAAAACTAAGACGCCATCTCGTAAGGAGTGTCATCTAACTAATCACGTGACTGACGCATAATGACAGTGCACAACCAGTACACTGAAACAGCAAGATACGATACGTTGGAATAAACCGTTTTCATTTGTTACTGCACTGTGATACACATGGGTAATCAGGGCGTGTGAGAAGCAGAACAAGGCTGTGTTGCATAATGAGTCGTAATCATGATACACTCTAAGTCTCTAGGGAAAGCAACATTGTGTTGCTGTTGCTGATGTTGTCTTCACTGTTCTTGTTGTTTTGAAGCATAAGCGTACACGAACACACACACAGACACAACGAATTTGTGGTTGAAATAATACAAATAAACTAAGCACTTCGATTTAATCCGCTTTGGGGTAATTAAGGTCACTATCTACCCATCTATTCTGACATTTATGTATCATTGTCTCATGCATCAAGCATCAGCCAAACGATCGATCGACAAACCTTTGAATATAAATGTATAAACGAACTAAAAGTCGACAGATTACACCGGTACCCGCAATGGGACTGACAGTTGATATTCTATACTTTGATTGATATTCAGTGTCAAGCTATCGGCTCAGTGTCACCTTAAAATACTCACAGTAAACTGGAAAAAAATGCTGGAAAACAAGTCAGGACCTGTTAAATAAAAAGACTGTTTTTTTGTTTAAGACGGTCTGTTTTTCGAGTATTTTTAAATTCATTTGTTTATTTAAGTGCGATGGAAATCTCTGTGGTGACCGACAAAGAGCACTAGACAGCTGTTTCGTCTTGTTTGGGACTCGTCAGCAGTGCACACTTTTTGTGCGCCATTTCGACCTTTATCGTCTGCCTCAGCAGCCGACCGTTGATTAGTCAGTTCTCTAAATTTTCTCTTCTTTGCATCATTTTTGAAGGTCTCTAGGTCCGGCAACCCGAACAATATATGAGCAGACGATATGACACTAAATTCGACTTGCTCTGGGTGTGTCAATTATACATTCGTTGTTCACTGCCTGTGTTCTTGGCTGAGAGAAGGTTACTAGCTTTCGTGGCGTGTAATCTGTGCTGTGATCGAATTCGTGGGACTAGATGATTTGTGTGGCTGTAGAGGTATACGTTCAGTAGCGTTCGTACCTGCGTGTGTATCCGCGCTGTGATATCGTGCACGTAGACTGAGTTGTCTCGTCAAACTATCACTGAACCTGGTTCCACGATACGTATCCCAACGATCCCAGTTAAAATACATTTCGAAACAGTGCATATCTTTATTGGTTGTTCCAGCCAAACGTGGATTGAAAAAGAGAGAAACGTGCGGTATATATGAAGTTGATCACAGTCCAGTTATTTGTTCAGTATCAGGGTTACGCGAGCGTCGATAGACGGGTTGCACAAACCAGACTGCCGTTCTCTGTTCGTCACCCTGACGACTACGTATCCACGATCCTCGAGAAAACGACGGCACGTTATCGCGGTGGCGGCTGATCTCATTCCACTTCAAATTCAAACCGCGAGAATTCTCAGGGGAAGGTTTGGCTTCCCTTGGCACTGTGAATGTCCGATCTGTATTTCTCGTAGTGAGTGCCACTATTACAGTGTTGTGCTGTGCTGTGTTGATTCGTGTTTGGACACGATGTCTCCCGCCGTTTCTGTTATTGTGTCAATGTGTGTTATCTATGTTGTGTGTTTTATTCGTGAGTGATCATAAACGACACAACAATTGGTGACGGCTATTCTATTTGACCCACGATGTCCATCTTCGCAGAAAAATTGAGATTTATCCTGTCATGGTTGCATAGACCAAATCTTCACCATTTGCTGGAACACCACCAAACATTCAATCAACAAACCGCTGTCGTGTTTTTGAATATCATAGCGGCCTTCACCTCCGTGGATCGCCCTGATATGTGGACTTGTTGGCTGAGATACGGAGTAAACGAGAAGTATGTCTTACTTATAAATTCACTCTATCGTTAGACTTCAGCGAAGGTTAGAGCCTATGATGAACTCGCCCTCGTTCCTTGTAATCCCCAAACCTGTCACTCTTAGCCAAACGTGATCTGAATGTATGTACACAGCTGATGAGATTATCACAAAATAGTTGAATTCAACACATCATGATGCTTCTTCTTGCTCTCATGAAAAACAGTTTTTATTGCCATTTTTCATCGGATCAAACTAAAATATCTTTTTGCGTTGACCTGTCAAGCAAGCCCACTAGCTATCTGGTATACATACTTGTATTTATATATTTGTATATATCAAGGTTGAAACCGACTGGTGAAATTCGCTAAACTGCACTTCGCCGTGCCATGATGACGACGAGGATACGGGTGATGATTTGTAGTCTTAAATGGGCAGTAGATTCTGATTTGATTCAACATTTTGGTTAACGACAAACCATCGGACTGACAGAAACGGCCCAATGAAGGTAGAACATCACCTGCCCCACGTTTTAAGCATTGGTAAAAAAGAAAATTTCGTACAATATTGTCATTAAGTTGACAAACAACGAGGACAGGAAGACAGGTGGAAAGATGCGTGGGCGGTGGTGGTCCAGTCGCTAGGGTCAAACTAATCACAGCAACCTGGAGGTCCAAAGTTTGAATCCCGACGCAGTCGCCCATCCATCCTGTCTGTAATTTTCGCAAGCATCCTTTAGGTGGTCGCAGCTTTGGTCTTAAAATTGACTGTAAATTATATCAATAAAAAGGAAACACTGTAGAGAACAAAGCTTGTTTTCGATGACTTTTTCCTCGGACTAATACAGTCATATAAAGCTTAGAACTGCCAAACTATCGCAATGGTCTCATGTGCAGCATATCATTGATTGATTGTAATCTTGTGATATGTGGTTTGGAAATGAAAGGGTAGAGTTTGTTGCTGTCAAAAACAAGCCTTGTTCGTTACAGTATTTTCTCAATGTCACGAATGTTCAACAAATAAAAAGGAAGTAAAAACACTACTATTATTGGGATGCTAAGGATGTTCATTTTGACGAGCGGAACAGACATCACAATATACATACGATTAAAGCACAAAAAAGAAAATGTTCCACGTGTGTGTGTGACTCCACTGACTACAGTTGTCATCACCGGTAGTAGGAGAATCAGGAAAATCGATCTTCTAGAGGTATATGTGCGTACAGGTGTGAGAAGTCCTGAACTGAGCAGTTACAGTCAAATGATAATGGATCATTTTATGCAGTTAGTAGCGTATTCAAGTCGCAAATTCTTGGAGCGTTATTAGTCCCTCAGTAGTCACCGATAAGCCAAATGGTAACCAGGACCCTGTATATGCCTCTGCATGCATCAGATTGATCTAATTGTGGAAATTCAAGCCTATGACTGCCATTTAAACTTTCCATAAAAATAGGCTTACCGACGGTGAACATGAATCGTTATGGAAGGAGGGAGGTACTAAATAAGCTTATTCCGTGCTTCCAGATCTATTTCATTTCTATCTCAATCACGATATTCCAATCATACAGCAGACGAAAGTTCGTGTTTGTTTTGTTTTCATTGGTTCGAAGTCATTCGGAATTTTTCGAAAACATCTTACTTGAGTTCCACTTACGGTGGCAGTGAACCAACTATCAGACCGAGTACACAATGGATGGTATGTTTCGTCGATGTGTATGAGGACGATTGAGAATGAATTGCTAGGAAAATTAGTCTGAAGTAGACCATACATTTTCTCATCAAGCTTCAGTGAAAACCTGCAATGCTTTAGTCACGACCCACAAATCTTTAACCTTGACCTACAATCCTTTAACTAAAAATCCGTAATTATTTACACACGATATGTGGTCCTTTAGTCTCGATACACCAACTTTAGCCATGTCGCCTTAAGCGAGTCAGATCAAAATGTATCGGAATTTTCTGAGATCAAACAATGTTGAAAAACTTCATTTTTTTACAAAAGTTAATGTTACAAAGCTTGGTGAACAAATGAGGTGTGGCAATCGTGTGCTGCGCAGTTGGTTTTCTTAATTATGCCAAATGTTACAATATCAGTAAGCTGATGACAGTGATGAAGGTATAATTTTGTAAACTGTGTTCATTATCCTCGGACTGTAAATATACTTCTTTAAACAGAGTCCTATCTTAATGAAGTTCTTCGTCGATTGTATGCGTTAGGGAAGCGATCGGGTCTTTTCTTTCTTTCTTTCCATTTTATTGTTAGGTACAATGAATATTATTGCCATCTATTGCCGACGAATCGAGTACAGCATATAGCGATAATACAAGGGAAGATAAAAATACGCTACTGTTGTAAGGAAAAATGCTGAGTGTAACATGCATGGTATATTGAATTGCATTTGCAAACTATGACATTAAGTAAAAAGCGATACAATCTGGAAGTGAATGCTTACCTTTCCGCAGCTTCAACATTCGTTGATCTCAGAAAATTCCGATATATTTTGATCTGACTCGCTTACGGCGACATGGCTAAAGTGGTCGTGTATAAATAACTGTGGGTCGAGGCTAGAGCTTGATGGGAGGTGTAGTTACTGATTTACAAAGAATTCGAAAGCAGATAAGCATCTCACAAACGGTGTATCTGGAAAACATTAGAACCAAGCTCTGCGTAGGGCGAGGGGAGGGAGGAGGGGCCAAGCAAAACTGATAGTACCACCACTCACCCGTGAATCACTCAACAGTCCAGCCAAAACACCGCCAACAATCCCGCCCAGATCGAAAATCACAGACAGATTGGCTGCTTGTTCTGCATTCACAAGGTCCCCTTCAACCATGGCCAGATAATTGGGAAGCCAATAAAGGAATGTGTACGAGACCAGTTTTGCAAAAAACAGCAGAATCGAGTAAGCTACGACATTCTATAAAATTGTAGATGAGAATGGATGAGTAGAATGGATAAATGAATAATGGTCTAAATGTGACCAAAGCATGAAATACGGTTATCAGTTTGCCGGAATCCGAAACCCTGATATTGAGCACCGAAATCCCAGAAACGTTCTGAATTCTGGCTTCATTCGGTAATAAACTATACTTGCATGATGCTACCCGTATGACACTGGGAGAAGGTCTATATACATTTGTGACGATGATTTTGACGAGTGAAAATTCCTTGGTACTACAGTTTGACCTTCCCTTTGTCCCAGTTTTTATCATATACGATTGCGTGATGAACAGTAGTCACGCAGACCTAGTATTCAATAGTGACAATCGGTAACACAATCCCGGGGTGGACAGTGAAGCCACCGGACAACAAAAAGTGGACTCACACGCGATACACAATCGAGTAAACAAGTAAGATAAAAGAGTAATGTCTAAGATCAAGCCTTCAGTTACGGTCTGAAACAACTTTTTATGCGCTTGATACAATACGATGAGATGGACTGTAAAACAGAGCGTATCTTTTATCCGTTTAATCACTGCCGAAACATGAAAAGTTTTACGAGATGATAAAATTTCGTTTAACCTCCTCAATCGCTAACATAAAATAAACTGGTGCATATATAGCACATTGGGTTGATCAATCAAACTTTTGGCGGTTAATGACGTTGCTTAACATAACCCGGTTTTATGCGCTGACGTAATCGATCCACTTGCCGTNCGTATTATTCTTTGTTTGAATGTACATGTTTCGTCTAATATGACTGATCAACTCACTGTGCTGTTTATAAGCCACCGATCGTAATGTTCACCTCTCGCAACATTGGTCATCTTCCGGCATTCATGTGATTGTCATCTTGCTATCATTTGCGTGGTCATGAAAACCGATAACCTATAGCTTAAGATTTCAGGTAAGAAAAACATAACGAGGCTCACTACGAACAAAATGAACTAGCGGCAACGGAATTGGAACTTGTATCACTTAGTGCTTACGGTTACCCCAAGCCTTAACCTTCAAAGACCACTGGTACACAATGTGGTTTGCAACTTCAAACCCTAGGAGAAAAATTATCGTTCTTTTAGTGTGCGCCGTGCAGTCTAGTCTCAATGGCAGGAACCTTTTTGTGAAATGCAGTGCAAGTGCATGAAAGGACCATTTACTTTGGTAGACTTCACATTCATTCATCTTTGAGTATGACCTGTCACGACATCGTATGAAGCACTGCACGGTGAACAACCCACTTACCGGGACTTGTAATGCTTCGCAAACGGTGATCGCTCTCTTCTGCGAACTGGTCACCGAGCGCAATAGAACGGTCGCATCTTCTCCGATCTTTCCCGTTCTCTTATGCAAACACGGCTGGAAATTGGAATCAGTATACGCGTTGGGATTAGAACAGGCGATGCTGAGGAGCTTGACTGGAGGTGCATCAACCGAAACAAAAAAGATTGTTTTATCGAAAAGCTTGCGAAATCTACTCGTTGACCCGCTCAATCGCGAAGCAGTGCCAAATTATGTGTGTACGGGAAAATTGGAGATGAAGTGATGCTTTTTTATAATTGTTTCTACCGAAAAAATGATGTTATTCCATTGATCGGCAGTTATGGCGATTGGCAACGCCGGGTTGGGGATGTTAAGTGGTGCGACGCAACGCAATGAGATGCGAGCTGTACGACGACAGTGCGTACCAAGCGGCAATGGCATTTTTTTCGTGAAGTAATAAAGTAATATGTCGCACCGAATCCAAAGCGTCTATGAGCAAAAACGTATATGATTATTCGTTTACGCACAGAGACGCGCAAGCCACTAGCTGAATATCCACCTCAACGAGTGAGATGGGAATAACCATGGTAGTGGTGGTATTGTAAATGAAAGATCACCGTCGCAGGCACTGATAGCCAATACTACAACCACAGTGGCGGTAGCCAGGCTTCTTACCATGTTTGTTGTGCAAAACTCCAGCGGGTGGTTGGACTAAATATGAGAAAAATAAACTCTTCTTGTGTGCATGTTGTGAGCGGCGTCGATGAGAAGTTCAAGTTGTCCTAAAATATAATTTATGGATACTCGAATGCACCGTTCTGATTATAACGACCCGATTGCTTATAAAGCGTAGTGAACACAAAAGTATCGAACAAGGTGGCAGTTGTGCAACAACACAACTTTCTCCAAGGCCGTTTTTCAGGTCTAGAGACACCCAACAAATACTACAGAAACAAGAAAGCTGAATAGCAAAACGCGCTAAAACAATATATATATATATATATATATATATATATATATATATATCACCCGCTTGCGCGTAAGCTTGATGCCAACGCAACAACAATAATAACAGAAGGCGGTGGGGGGTTGGCATACGGAGCAGAGTCAAATCAATCAGTGAACAGCGAGGCTAAAAAAAGTGTTGGATATTTTTTGTGCTAGCTTATCGTTTTTTTCATGGGGCACGGGATTTCAGCAGGAAGACCGTATGGCATTCGCCACTGACTTCTATTCTGGGTCATATCGCTCAACGTCTCTAACCAACGACAATCATCTTTGGGCCCCAACCTGGAAGGCGGGCTGCAATAACTAAAGCCAGCTTCTTCATACCTCTACACTATGTCATGGTCTGACCGCCGAGACGCTTCTTCCAGACTTGCCCAGCAAGTAAAACAGAACACGAAAGGGTGGCCGATGGGCAGGAATATGCAAAACGTCACCAAGCCATCGGAGGCGGAGTAGAGCGGTTACTTCTGTTAGCGAACGACTATTGACATCCAACACAGTATGAAGAACCTTTACATTGCTCAATTGATGTTCCCACCAAACACGAGCAATGCTTCGGAGACAGCGGAGGTCGAATATAGAAAGTTGATTAGCATCCTCAACAAAGAGCAACGTTACGAACCGCGGTGATGTACACCCTTCCCTTAAGGGACAGTCGGATTTCATGGCGGCGCAACAGGTGTCGCAGGTTGGCAAAAGCTGCTCTAGCTTTCGCTATTCGTGGTGTGATCTCCGCAACACCAACACCAGCTGCGATCAAGCTCCCGAGGTACTTAAAGCTCTCAACCACTTCCACCCCATCACTACAGAAGGTGAGTGCGGGCACAGGCTCCTTCCAGTCTTGAACAAGCACTTTGCACGTGGAAGGTGCAAAGCACATATACACACACATACACAGATACCTCGATCGCCAAGCGGTTCAAAATCTGTTGGGATGCCTGTGCATTGGCACCCAGCAAGGCGATGTCATCGGAGTATTCCAAGTGAAGGACTCTGTTCCTTGGGAGGAGTTCGACTCCACCGTTTGCTAGACCGGACAAAGTATTCTGTAGAACATCATCTATGACAAAGTTGAAAAGGAATGGGGATAGAGGGCAGCCTTGTCGAACTCCACTGGAGACGGCGAAGGGTGGCGAAAGCTGGCCATAGGCCCTAACCCGACCTGAGGTATGACGATACAACTCTCTTAGGATCGACACATACTTCTCAGGTACTCCATTCCTCAACAAACAGTTCCATAGTGCAGTCCTATATACAGAGTCGAAGGCCGCGTGGATGTCTAAGAATACAATGATCGTTGGTCTTGACGTGGCTCAAGCAGCTGTCGGAGGGTGAAGATTCGATCGATGCATCCACGAAACCCAGCCTGCTACTCATGCATACTGTACAATCGGCGGAGAATGACAGACTCCAACAGCTTTGACGCTATTGGAATCAGGCGTATACCCCTATGCTTGACGCAGTCACTGCACAGATCCTTTTAAAGATGGGGTCGAAAATCGATTTTCCTCTCCAAGAGGCGGGAACCTGCTGAGTGCGCCCAACTTGAGAGAACATCGCCGCCAATCCCTAACCAGCTTTGTTCTACTATTTTTAAAGAGCTAGCGGAAGGTCGTCGGAGCCCAGCGCGTTATGTTGTGCCAAGGATTGGATCTCCTTACGGATTTCCGTCTCAGAAGGTGGATCTGTTGGAACAGACCACTGGACGTGCCGGAATACCTGCGGGGAAAGCTTAAGCTGGTGGTCAATCGATTTGAGCTTTGGATTTTTTTTCCCCAACATGCAAGACATCACTTTTGATTATGAANNNCTTACACCCAAAGCTTTCCTATCAGTGACTCAAGTGGGATGGAACAGCTTACGGGAATCTTCAATGCCGGCAGCAAGTTCCATCTCTGATGCGCGTTGAGTCCACCAGACGTCGCGGTCTCCGCGTAGGCTTGTTTCGTTACGAGTCGTGATTTATTACACTTGCTACCGGTCGGGATTTATCGGTGTGAGTCGAGAGGGCGTAGAGACTCGGCGGAAATCCAGGGTT